CGCATTTCTCGAGGCGCAAGGGAAGAGTGACCAGTCACAACCTAAGATACCCACCCTAACTGTACTGAGGCCTTCTGATCAGAGTAGACAGATGCCGTATAACTCCGTATGTTGCATTCTGGTTAATAATACACCAGCCATCACTTGTGTTACGGAGCATCTCTTGTGTTAGGTTGTCTGGTTTTCGTATTGCTCTCTCTATTGTGTAACTTAGTTAACCGTTATGGGCAATAAAGCATATATATGCGAACTTTAGTTGATTGTTAACAACAATCGTAACTATCCAAAACTTGTCATCACTCCATAGCTTATTAGTAAATTAACGCGTAACAGATTTGCATCATGGTTGGCATTCTAAGACTCTTTGGGTATCGGACAATCCAACAAAGCCTGAATAAATTCATCTTTTGCTCTGGCAATAAAGGCCATTGTGAAAAAGACAATGCTGTAAATGGCTTCTTCCATGGGCATCCATCATCCACTGAATGATTTATTGGAGACTAAAAAAACATGTCCATCGTTATTGGATAAGGACCAATGATAAGCTAGAGAACTGAGCTCATGGAAAGCATAGCATATATGATGATCAATTCCAACTCGTTGTCTTCTCATGGCAACAGTGCTTTTCATTAAATGGATGAGAAGAAAATCTAATATCCAGGGCTGTAGCCGGGTCGATGAGCGGCAGCGCGCAATTTTGATCAAAAGAAGCTGAGAATCCCTGTTTCCAAAATCCACGTGAATAGTCGTAAAAACTGGATCCAGGATATCCAGATCATGAAGTTAGTCGGGCCGATCGGGCGCGGGGTGTTTTGGGCATCCCGGAGGAATGAATAGCATCTTAGAGACGAAAAAGCCATCCTACCGGACTCGGGATCCGAATTAACTCCGATCTTGATGCATTCTTACGCTAACTTGCGGGTTTGGCTTTGGCTAAATAAAAGCTCCAGTTGTGATTACACTAGGAAAGCTCTTATTTTGACTGCACAAATCCTGCTGTTGCTCCCATAAAAAACCGCGGTAAAATAAAACAAAACATCAATAAGCGATCGTTCTGTTTGGAAATCGTGACAAGTATTGCACCATAAGCAGCAAAAGCGTTTTCGTATCACAAATACCAACCTCAGTGACTGTCAACAGGTGTGGCATAGAATGACCAACAGTCAATGATCGACGTGGGACAAAAATGAACTAAGCTAGTTAGGGCTCAGGGATGATAAAACAATGGAAGGCGACATTTGATGATTTGCCTAGTTCGAGCATAAAACACCTATGCATGCGTGAGAAATTCTATTGCAAAATCGTATGGTTCAACCCCCACTCTCATACTAACAAAGCGAGTAAAAGAAAGTGTTTAAAAATTCGACCATCTAAGCAACTGCACCCATACCAACAGATAAGTCTACATTGAAGTATCAGCACCCACACATGAGGTTCGTTAGATTTGATTGAGCTCACATATGCTTGGTGTCGCCGAGACATTCGACAGTTACCGTTTTAGGATTATGTTTCAACAGGTCACCCGATTCAATTATACGGTGCACAGACAGAGCGCAGCTTATCGCCGTTCAAATACTGCAGTTGATACAGCATTTTACTCTTAAACTGTTCTACAACCATAAGTATTGTAATTCCGTAAATGCAACCGTCCGAATTCATTACGTCACTTTAACACCAAAAGTAGTTCATTTCAGCGAACAGCGCTGGTGCCTTGGATATGTCAGCGGTAGTGAACTGTGTAAGGACTAGTTGACTAGTAGATAATTACGGTCGTGAACAAGCATAAAAGCTTAAGCTCTATAAACTATGGCAATTGGGTCTTGTGACACGACCTCCTTCTCATGTAACGCTTTCTGAAGAAAGTCAGGACTATAGTCTGATATAAAAGCGTGAAACCTCTGGACTCTGGTATTCCGGATCTCGTAATCAGTCCAACAAATAGTTAGATACATTGATTGTCATGATTCTTCTATCTATCCATTCTATGCAACTTTCAGTTGAACGACCTTTAATATCATTATTGAATGACCACTCTGTCATTGGCGAAATATCCCTTTTAACCTGTTAATCGATCAGATAAGCAGCTGAAAGACATGAACCAAAATTGGAGCACGAGAGTGCAATACAAACATTTTTACCAAGTAAACCGACCTGAAATATAATTTGCGATTGTCTACGACGCATTTTGGTTATTGTTATTAATGTTAGTGGTAGTAATATTACTATTACTGGTAGTAGAAGGATTATTATTTCTATCCTTACTACTTTTGCGCTGGTATGCTGTAGTAGTGGATTTTCATTTGACTTATTGTACAAGAAAAAATAAGTGAATCCAACTGACTAAATCATCATCACAAAACCGTTGCGATGGAACTCACTACTTGCTTATTACGAAGATCCTGTAGGCTTTTTGGTATGCACGTATGCGTTTCAGCATCCCAGAGAGCGTCTTTTGGACACTGACACTTAAATTGATGCTCCAGAATGCCCGTTTTTACACAATCCTTAAATGTGCATACATCTTGCATTCTGCACGGGTTGGGACACATCATGTCATATTTTGCCGTGTCCGATGCTTTGTGTGCTGCCCAGCACATAGCCAAACAGCTGGCTGTGAAAAGTTTACGCATATACGGAGTCCAGGAACAGTTGGACTTATCCCAATAGGAAATAAATGTTGCATCCTCGACCACGGGCTGAGAATCGGGTAAACTTTGGGCGAACGTTTTCAGCTCGTTCAGAAATCCTTGGCGCATTTTCGAAAAACATGTTAAATCTGGGCCGTCTTCGGTTAGACAATACGTCGATAATACTTTCCGGAAAGTTGCAGCTGCCTTTTCGCTGAGTAACATTTCAACCGTATCCCAACGACTCCCAAGCATGTATAATTCAGCATCCAATAGTTCAATAGAAAGTACCGACGCAGTGAGATCTGAACAAAATACAGGCTGTATGGCCTGAATTTGATCAGATCCAAACAGCATAAATAAAAATAGTATGACAATCATGCCGCGTGTACCAATCAGTCATTTGCCTGATGTGCCTGACAAAGAGATGCGTCAATACTTTGAATCGATTAAGTGGTTTCAAACGAGGCTTCATTCTAAACTGGCTCTAAGTGTCCAACTCGAGTAAAACAGTATGTCAAAAAGTGGAAGTATGAGGCCAAGTTGTAGTGAATCACTAGCATATCTGTCAGCGATGAGTTTCGTCACATTTTTGTTTGACCGAGTTCTAAGAAATTTCGCCGATGGGAAATAGCTATTTAAATTTGACTGTGAAACAGCTGGTGGCAGGCCAATCGGGATGAATAATCGAATAGCTGAAGCCTCGCCTGTGTTTCTGTTCTTGATTGTGTACGCATTTAGAGTAACACTAGGGACAGGTGCGAGGCTAGTTTCGCACCAGATATCACCACAAACACAACACAGCTAGAGAGTGAAATCACTCGCGTTGTTCGTAATGATAAACCAGCGACTGGGTTAAGTGTCACCACCAGCATCAACAGGTATGCTCAAATACTCTCTAAGGGACGAAAACGATCATGTACCACCGACCTGCTGCTTGCACGAAATGGGTGAAAGTAAACATTCGATGCAGAGGAGATAGCGTGTGCAGGTTGATGAAGCTTCTTCTAAGTTGCTGATTGGATGAACCTACGGTACACCAAACGTTGGTGGATTAACAATCGAATTCACACGCGTAGTTAGCTACCGAAATTTTCCGACAAACAGATATGGGGAAAAGAACACGAGAGTAACGCTTAGTTTATCGGGAGAAATCAAGTAGATTAGATACCATGTGCAAGTAAATATTACAGGCCCAGAACTTATTAAACAATCAGTTATCGTATTGCTATGCTCATGATATTCTTGAATATCCCACGGTGAAGTTGATTGCTCCAAAATGATCTAATTGGGAAAATGTATCGCGTAGCTCCCTGGTTAGCATTATCTCCTAGCGTTTGGTTATTGCAGAATCACTAATATTCTGTTGCGCAAGCTTCACGATTACGGTACTTGAGGGCTGATCGTATTGAGGAATGTCTCCGACAACGCATAACGCCAATTAGAGTGGATGATTTAGCATCAGGAACGATCGACGCAGTGTGTTGGATTCCATATGGATCCGTACTCTCCCCGGCCCCACCCCCGTTCTCCTGGCACTTATAAACCTCTCGAATGCCCTTAATGCAAAACAGGCGCACGAATATGCGTGGTTAATGGTTGTTCAAACTGGAATGCATAAGTTTTACTGTTTGGTGATGACGCTTAAGCCTGCATAACATTAAAAATGTTCATAACTATTGAGAACAACGCTTGTTGCAGCTTACCGACGGTGTACCAAACATGGCATTGAATTCAACGTTGCGCAATATGAGATCATCACTGCATCATAGGGTTTGCATTCTGTCTTTAGAAATTAACCACTACCACGAGCTACAAACAAGGATTTGAAAGTCACCTTCAGGGGAGGACTGAGACTGTTCCGGAGATCGCGTTAGTGTAGTCAACACCTCTACAGGAGGTTGGATTAATCAAGCGTGTTTTCGGACCAGTAGAAACAGACCTGTTCTCCTGCCGGCCATCGATGTTATTCTTTCCATCGCACGCTTTTGTGCTCTAACCAACGCAACCAACCAATGCAAGTTAAGACCCGATGAAGCAGCAAAACACCAAACTGCTCTCCCTGACCCTGTAAGTAAAGGTGGATGCTCGGCAATTTATGCATACTACGACTCGAAACCAGTATACAAAAATAATATGGAACTGATCAAGCTTCATCATTGTAATTTCAGCCTTGACAACGATGAAACATGCATCTTCATGTGCCAGTTTTGATTTCCGTCCTTTGGTTGCCAATTTGGACGAAAGAACAGAATGAAGATTGGAATGTTGAGAGTAGAGCCAAAGTGAAGACAGAATTCATATAGACTGGGATTGGAAGAATAATGAGTAGACGCAGGAGCGCCACTCAGAAATATCAGTGTCTGTAACCACCGGTTACCAGGATCTTGGGATGCACTGTAATTTGGTCATACTACTCAGATTTCAACTGCAACCTTTGACCAGTGCCACTTTATCAACGGAAATTTCGAATAGTTCTGTTGTATCACATACCCGGATAGGGTACTCGACTAGTTGACTTGAACATTCACGTATGGGTTTTACCATAACGAAGTTGGCAGGTGTGGCTGCATTTGGTTACGGTATCTAATGCTAGTGGGAGTGACGCAACTTCTCATACAGATGAATACGAAGGTTATTCGGAATCCAATAGTAAGTTTGCAAAAACACTTCACAAGTTAGCAACCAGATGTCACTTATTGATTTCAAAAACGTGAGATACATTAGCCGAACGGACGGCCGATCGACTGGCTGATGATCAAACCACTAGACAAAAACGGGATTTACCCATGAAATTTAGTTGTGCATTTTTATTTTTGTATCCTGATACGAATAAACGTAGAAATGTTAAACAGAACAGAAGAGATGGATATGACTATTGATACCAATCACATTTGCTGTCCATATCTACGAGTGCCATCTGTAACTGATGTGACAGAGATGAACGCTACCAGGCGCTTTCCCGTGTTGTGAATAGGGAGATACCTTCACCGAAGAAGTTTAACTGTGAATGCCGCATACCGCAAGAAATAAGCAGTCGCGAACAAACAACGGCGGCACTGCCAGGGTGCGGTGGGTTTTAGGTTGATCATTTAGCTCCTGTTTAAAAGCCGCATAAGCCTAATGACGGTGTCGTGACAAAGGTCGGTGTGACTGGCCTTTCAAAACTAAAGTCATAGACCCCCTCACTTCCGAGGCGAGGGATTATTTCCTGCTACCTTGCAGTTCGCACTTGGTTGTGCAACGGCTAGAGGTGCGCCCTCAAACTGACCCTGGGGACGTCTATCGTATCAATCTCCCAAGTAACTTCATGATCTCGTCTTCTACGGCGGCAATCAGAGACATTCATGGAGACGACTTATCCTTCCCAAGGAGCCAGCCGTAGTAAAGTGATGTCTCATGGTAAAGCTATTCGACTGAATAAGAACCATCTGAAACAGCGGGTAGAGCATTTGAAGAAGTTCGGTTATCATAAGATCAGCCAAATTCTGCATCAAACTCTCTGTCCCAAGCAGACAGTAGCCCATAATCGCAAATGGAGATATTGCAATGTTCGGAGCTCTAAGACAGCATACCACGAAGTCTCAGAGACGAAATCGGTTTGACTCCAAGAAACCCCTTAGTTTATTCGGAAACAGTCGACAGATTCATAAGAGTTTGTGATGCGGTCAAGTTAAACGATTTACAGTAAAAATTCGTCTCCTCAAAACTGTGGAAGAATAAGATTAAACATCACCGCATCAAATTTTCGCATCCGGATCACAATGAATCGGCACAAACAACAAACAGGTGAAAGCAGGGCTCATTTGGGATTTGGCTAAAGCGGCATCGCTCATGAAGTGACCTGGAAGGCTTTTTGGCTCAGTCGATCACACTGCACTCTGGCGCTGCCTTCCGTTGAACAATGTTCCAACTAACAATAATTAGTGAAGCACTGTAAACGCGTCTTCTAGGCGACCAAACCAATAACCTAATTATTTTTTCCAATTATGATGGTAACTCACCCATATTCACACAGCAAAATGCTGATAAAAATACAAACGATTAAAATCAAACACGAAGATAAACCAATGAACTCAACAATAAACAAAAATTAGAGTGTATGGAGACAGTCACTTGGTACAAGTGACTAGTCTCATATACACAGGGCCTAAGAGGAAGAGAAAGTGAAAGGAAGAGGTAAGCCCGGCTGAAAGAAAACAATGTAGTGATACTAGAGTATAAATAAGGAAGCGACCGGTCAACGGCGAGTTGGTAACTGAGTCATTTTAGGATCAGATAGTTTATTAGATGAATGGTCTGAAGTTGAACCACACGGAGAAGCGATAGAGAAATGAACAAGACATCCATGTATTACACTAGGGTGGAGGGGTGTAGCAAATGCACAAAGCAACTGAGATTTCAAACAGCCAAATTCAAGACGTGTAAACCTGTCACAATGATAAAAACCGAGTACATAAACAGATGCAGTAAGGAGGCAGACATTATGGTTAGGATATTTGCTATGTACATTATTGTCCACCCTCACCGGAGGGCGACTAAAGATCGGTTGTGATGAAATAATCACACAGATCAAATGTCTAAATTTCCTAAAACATTTATTTTGAATTATTGGCGATAAGAGAGGGTACTATGTTATCGTAATTGTTAGACGTATTGTGTTACTCAGATTCTCAGCTCGAATCATCGGACTGAAGTAGAAATTGTATGATGAATTCGTTGTGTAAATGAGGTGTGAACGGAAAAGCTGGGAAACACTGGACAGTTGTTCCGACCTAGTTAGGTCTCTTCAGTAGTGCGAATCCATCGACCTAACTGAGGATAGAACCCGGGACCTCACAGTCAGAGCGCAAGCATACTACCCATTCGGTCACCGGGCAAATGATCAGACCGTTCCTCATTTCGAATATACACGATATCGCATAACCCATATGTGTGAGCGTGTTGCGAGTATCGATCCTCGCTCCTCTCAGCACTAGCCTCCAGGATTATGACTCGGTTGGAAAATTTCACAACCTCATTATTTATTATGAAAATGGGGGATGATTTGATTTGTTTGTGTGATGAATTCGTCGGTGGCCGAGTGGGTAGTATGCTTGCGTTCTACCTATGAGATCCCGGGTTCGATCCCAAGTTAGGTCGAGGGATTTGTACTGCTGATGAGACCCAACTAGGTTGAAACTGCTGTCCAGTGCTTCCCAACTTCTCATCTTACGCCTCATTTACCCGACAAATTCATCGTACAAACAAATCAAATCCTGTTACATTCTCATACATGAAGTAGAAATTGTTTTACAGGAACAAGCGTAGGATACGAGAACTAGCTAAGAAAACGAAAGGCAAACGGAGCGATTTTGGCAGATGATAATTGATGAATTGAGTGTGACAACTAACAAAGATAAGACACACCCCTTTTGTTTGCGATAGGGACACATATGGTACGCGAGTGCTGCACGCATACCGATTGATGTATCCCAAGTGTGAAAAGAATAAAGCACACGTTCAACATCGGTATGAGAGCAATATATTTCCAAAATAACTCAGAACTCCAAGAACGCATTGAGTAGTTTGCAATTTTCGGGGCCGATGGNTCCTCCAGGGTGGCAATCGTTTCTGCACTGGAAGGGAAAAAGAAACGCAAATCAGAACAAGCAAATCGATGTGTGCGCCGAGGTCCGTGTGGTCATGATAAATATAAATTCATTTAGTGTCTACTGAAACCGTTTGAGAGTAGCCAAATGATTAACTCTCCTATTGAATGGAATGCAGTCGGCAAGCCTTGTCTCAGAAGTTCATCCAATTAACGGCGTAACAGATAGAGTACAGTCAAATTTAGCCAAAGTCAGTGAACACAGCACAACAGTGTACAGTGAATGAAAGACGAACATAAGACAGATTTTGCATGTGATGTTATTGCTCGAAACTTCAAAATAGCTACACAAACAACGATGGGGTAAACAGAAATCAGGATAAGAACAAATATTTTCGGTAGCGGATGGAAAAAGGTCAAGGGCGGTCAAAATAAGACCTAGCATGAGGGTATGAGAACCGTAACTAGCATACTGGATCACATAGGTCCCATTAGGCTCCTTGGATAGGGACGCCGAGATAATCGTAACCGGTGGTTACAGACACTGTTGATATGGCTGGGTGTCGCAGATAGTGGCGATCCTGCATCTACTCTTTATTCTTGCAACCCCAATCTATATGAATTCTTTGTCTTCACTTTGGTTTTGATCCCAACATTCCAATCTTCATTCTGCTTTTTTATTCAAATGGGAGGCCCAGAGACAAAACCAAAGCCGGCGCACAAAAGTGTGATTAATGGTTGTAAAAACTGAAACTGATATTGGTTCCTAGTCCTCCCACTTTAGTGAAATACACTCCTCCCGAAAACAGAGGGAATAGGACTTCTCAAGTAAATGCCTTAAGAGAAGGGCTGCATGAAGGCGAAAATGAGACCTAGGTCACCCTCGAAGAAACTATGTATTTGTGAAAGCAGAAAGGGTCAACGTAATTGGATAAGACAAGTTTAGAATGATTAAAACAGCCGACAACTAGCACAACAGCGAACCGGTTCTTATCGCCTTTCATCATAAAGGGAAAAGCGAAAAGAATGTAGTGGAGTGAAGATTATGTGAAAATTTATGGTAGGGAGGAGTGCAGAAATCATTTAGTTTAAAGATTATAAGAACATTGAGTGGCACAACCGGGTTGCCGAGTTCCTCCAACCATGGACTGAAAGCCTCTTGATATTTCTGCTGTGATTTACCCGGCCTAATTTTCTGATTAAGGTCTTCAAAAGTTTCCTTTATGTTTTTTCAAACACAAATTGATTTACAGCAACAAGGGGTAAACCTCATAGTCAATGAAGGTACCTGAAGGAACATTCAAGTGAGAATCAATTTGTTAATCCTGCTTTTGAAAAGAGTAAGGGCTTGAAAACACGGAGATGGGAAATGTTCCACCGCCTTGGGGAAAAGATGACTGGAAGACAGAGGTTTAACAACTAGAGAAAGAAACCTGATAAGAGTGACTGCCCTACTGAGAACGAACCGGGAGAAAAAGTCAAGGGCAAGGGAACCGCTGAAGCAAGTTTAGAAGAGCAGAAACCAGAACAGGAACGATAGAAAAGAGATAAGGAAGCAACCGCGTGGAGATGGGAAATCGAGGAATTAGCCACCCTTACCCTCTTTCGTCTAATACTGCCTGGTGAGAAAGTCCACCCAGGAAAAAATGCATATTTGTGGGTGTCCAAAGACCCGTGTCAGCACCTGTCTCAGCAATGCTAACCCAATTGTTTTATTATCAGAAGAGTACAATGCTGTGAACATGTGGATGAACGAACAACGAAGGTGATTTGTTACCTATCGCACATAGATTTCGTTTCTCATTGTTGTGGGATAAATGAATTATCGGGGACTTTAGTACAAGTAAAGATACTTAATTCGGTGTGTACCCCCAAATGCTTAACTGTGCATTCTAAAACAACGTTGTGACTGATCGCACTTTGCAACCAACATTGCTAGACAAAAACGGTAGTCTATTCAATAGTACTTCCCGGAAATTAGAAAACCGGCAAGTAAGCGGGGAAAACCCAAACAATATAAATTGCCCAAAGAGTTGAAATAGAGTGAAATTTACCATTTCATGCCAAGCAACGACGCCAGCAACCAATATTTTGTTATAAATTACTCATTATCAACCACAACGTACCAAACATACTGTACAAGGAATACGGGCAAGACCGGCCGTATAGAGAAGGCGTGGAGAAAGACGATATCGGATGCAAGTGATATTGGTATCCGAGTCAGTCGTGGTATACGCGCCTCGTTCAGATGTTATACGACTCTCAAGTTCTCCGCCGTACTTCAACGCATCGAGAACGCATTGAACATCTTGTAAAGTCATTTGTACCTGAAGCATAAGACGAAGGGTATCTGGTATTTCAACAGAGTGAAAATAAAGCCCTTTCTCGTATGGAGAAGATAATATACAACAATCACAGGAAGTGTAAGGACCACATTTAGGCAGTGTTGTGACGAGTTCGTGAGAATCAAAAGTTAATCAAATCTGATCATGAAGATATAAATTTTATTTTTTATGGTACACTATTCCTAAATTAACAGTATGCTAAGATAAGATGTCAGAATTTATCGCTTTTATTTAGGCAGCGTTTTTGATTACCGCCTAATGTTTATTGAGTCCTTGTGCGAGTGTTTGGACTGACGGGCGATGAGAGAGCACCGATTTGCAACTTTCGCTTATGGTGTATTTTGAGCACTCCATTCCGGCAGCTTTGTTGCAGTTAGTTGTCAGACGTAGGAAAAACGTAGCATGGTTGGCATCCAATGATGTTGACCGGTGAGAACAGCAGTCTTGAATAAGTCTCTGTCAATGGCAAAGTGATCGCTTTGGGTCCATCGATGAGGAGAGTTAAGGGTTTCCCACGTAAGGCGGTTCTATTTCTTGCTGGAGGTCTTTGCTCGAGAGGAGTAATCAGTGGTCTTCGCAAATGTGGAGCAGTCATGTTAAATCACTTTTATCTGTTTTTATCACTTTCCAGTCGATTTTCCATTGTGTACCTGTTTTCCCCTTTTTCATTCCCTGTAAAGTTGTTTGCCGAACAAAACCCGAGTTCTGGCCTAACGGTCTTCTGCGCTGTCGCAAACGATTGTACGGGTACTCAGTACAATTCATTCAGCAAACAAATTGCCACGATGGGGCGCTATTTACGGTTCAAGAGGTTTGATCCAGATCATGGCTCAAATAGAACATCGAAAGTGTGGGGGCAACTAGCTTTGTGCATCACATCACCTCACCTTTACAGTTAGCGTGAGTGAGTCGGATGAGCCGGACGTGTTGTACGACTACATCTCCCCTAATGTTTATAACCATATCGCTGAATGTCCTACATATAATCATCATCATCATGGTACGGCGAAATACAGTGTAGCGAAATTCAATGATCGCTGCCAAACTCACAATGCATACAAGGGTAGCTAGAGACTGGACCTACTTTGAAGGAGGGGTAAGAAAGTGAACCACTATGGTCAACACAAAGTGCACAATCGAGCTCTTCATATATACCGTTTCAAGCGTTCTGGCCTGATAAGAAATGACAACAAGAACGCCATTACTGTCTGTTGGTTGCCATATCCTTCAATGTCTCCAAACAACCGGTTGTGGAGTTTTTCGGACCCCAACCCGGAAGGCGAGAGACATCTACTCTATCTAATGGCTCTGTGCATTTCTTCATGCCTCGTCTCCACGTCATCTGTTGACCTCCACGTGGTTTCCTCCAGCCCGGAGCGGCTACATCGAATAAAGCACGACGCGGCAGCTGGGCATACGCAATGTGTCCTAGCCAGCGAAGTCCACTAATCTGAATTCGATGCCCTAGCAAATTTATCGTAGGTAAAATCCCAAACACACGATGGCTTACTTCCAGATTACTAACCGTTACTTCTATCCCACGTGGACTAAACTAAGTAGACACCGATAGTCAAAAACCTCTAAATGAACTTCTTCTACTCGCAAATTCAAGGTCTCACAACCACAAAGCCGAAAGGAACGAACGGCAGCAGAATGTACACGGCCTTTCAACTTCAGTGAAACGTCGCGTCTACACCAAAGGTGTTTCAGTCTTACATACACTACTCGAGCCAAGGAACTACATGTGCTTATTTCCTTGACTACGCAACCGTTGTTTTGAGGCACTACTCACATCTGTGAGCAGTTCGCAAAAGGATGCGATTGGCGATATCTTTCAACGGTCAAAAATGAACAAGATATTTTGGAGTGAATTGTTGTATTCAGTATAGTAACTTCAAGAATGCTCATCTAATAGTGGCCCGTTCCATTAAATGTCTTATGTGCGTGTGGGAATTCTGAAAACTCGTTCCAAATGAGACATTTGTTGCATGTATAGTAAGTTACCAATATCCTGACCGTTGTTCATAAACAACTATTCTCGTCCAGAGACCGCCTTGTGGATTCATAACACCGTCACTTGTCACTCAACTACCTAAGTGGGAAAAACAATCCATTATTACTGATTCTTGACCATCAAGTATCAAAGCCGGGGTAGACGACACTCAAACTTGTAGGAGCACTTCGAAAGTGCAAAGTGCGAAACAAATGGAGTTACAGAACCTGAAAATCTTTCAAGAGCGCTTTGCGCATCCTCTATACATTAGACAGATAGACGATATCATCAACGTATTCTAAATCGCACAGCCTCTCTTCAGCTTCCCATTCAATACCAACATTTTGGAGACCACTAAGTGTGTTCTCCAGAATTTCGTCCACGATGAATTTGAACAGGAAAGGCGAAATAGGGCACCATTGAGAAACACCACTAGTGGTTTCCAACGATTTACTTAGTCCATCGTAGACCCTGAGGCCACCCGAAGCATACAGGCACAGTAATCGCAATAGATTCTAAAAGTAGAAAGTTGAAGGGGAAGATTGAAAAGACGGCGTAAAATAGGAGCTAACTCTGAAGCACAAATTTTGAAGACGATAGGTGAAATACCGAGAGCGCAATGTTTGGCGGATTTTTCTAATGTAAACATGCTAT